ATTCCGAAATTTTAACTCCTAATGTCTTGGTAATGATTTTTTAAAATTCGCCAAAATTAGTGGCTAAAACGCCTCGTTAAGTGCTGCCTTCTGGTGTAACGCGCTTGTAACTATCGTATCGTATACTCTATCATTATTCGTTTCTTGTAACAATTTATACTAGATACTAGATACTAGAAATAGCACTTAACGAGGCGTTTTAGCCACTAATTTTGGCGAATTATAAAAAATCATTAACAAGACATTAGGAGCTTAAATTTGGAGATTATATTAAGAATAGTGCTGTCGAGGAATGCATTTATTTTCATTATGATATTTCAAAATTAAAGCCATTTTAGTTTTTTTCGGAAACTGGAAGAAATTAAAACATTAAAATATATGCATATTTTATATATATTGCCTAATTTATTTTGCCAAAACTTAAATATTTTGAGATATTCTTGTCCAAAAATTATAAGGGATGTGATCACCTTAAGATTGAAAGAGAATTAGCTTTAATTCATGAGATGCAAAGCATCATAATTGTCGCGTAGCAAAAACCACCTGCTGCCAAGAGAAAATTTTGATTCAACAGTATTGTATATTTTGTTTTGTAAAAGAGAAAAAATTAACATTTCGTGTTTTAATAGTTATTTTTTTAATTTAATAATCTATGTGAAAAAAATTTTTATACAGATACCTATTTAATTGTACTTATATTTGTTGTTCCTTTATACAATAAATACAATTTACCTATCTCCAATTCATCACTTTCCATTTCCATATTATTCCATATACCTAGAGTCCGATTACAATTAGAACACAGCTACGTCATAACTATAATTTCGAATTTTTAATATACAGGGTGTCCAGAAATTAGACGGTCATATTTTAACAGCGTAATCTACATCCTATAAGTATTAGAAATTAAAAATTTAAAAAACCGAATTCAAAAACGTGCAGATACCGTCACCACATCTAAACCAAATTTATATGGGACCACCTCTCAAGTACCTTCTTATTAACAAAAAAAAATCACATAAATCGGACAAGGTGGTAAAGCATTATCGCTAAACATATATAAAAATTTAAGAGTTTAAGGATTTTCTCATGGGCCCAATTATTAGATTTTAACAAAATTTATATGGGACCACCTCTGAAGTACACCCTTTCTAACAAAAAAAGAATCATTGAAATCGGACACCGTGTTAAAGAATTATCACTGAACATACATAAAAAAAAAAATTTAAAAATATTGCGACGAATTGAGAACCTCCTCCTTTTTTGAAGTCGGTTAAAAATAGGAGTAAAAGTTTATATAAACATGGGTCCAAAAACGTTTCGTAAGAATTTGTACCAAATTTTACCTAATTATCTTTAAACGTTTAGAAAATATTTACAAAAGTGTGGTATCAGAACTTCACCTTTAACACCCTGTATCTCGGAAAAGAAACGTTTTTGGACCTATGTTTATGAGAACTTTTACTACTATTTTAGAATGCAGATTACGCTGTTAAAATATGACGGTCTAATTTCGGGACACCCTGTATATCATCTATAACTATCAATAAATAAAAAATATTTGAGTTGTTTGGTTTAAAAATAGTATTTCTACATTCCTATAATATTAACAAGCCACTAAACCCCCAGTTGGGCGATAGCCAATGAATTATTTCGCCAATTGATGATATATATACCTGTGTTCATGTAATTGTAATCGGACCTTACCCAATCCTATGATTATTCTTCAGCACACGACAAACGATATTGCCAAGTTTATGTAGCGAACAAGTTTCCAAATACTTTAAAGGGAGGTCGTTAGATCCGTGCAGTGTGACGTCAGAAGGGACTGGATTGCTCTTAATATTTAATAAAAAATCCCAATTCACATTGACCAGTGCTTTATAAAGGGAACGAAAATCAGCCCTTTTAAAATTAAAAGACGTTTTACTTGGGTTGTTTCTTACAGGTGTTTTCTTATCAGTTGACAAAATAATATATAGTGAAGGATGATGTTTGTCTATATTTAATAAAGGACCAACAGATTGATAAACTTCATAAGGTTTATTATATAAAACTAGGTCTAATAATTTATTACATTCATTATATAATTGTATTGAGTTAAATCAAGGAATGCGTTGAAAGAAGACAGTGCAAGATTACGAGTACTATTCTTATTGTTTACGTGTACGGGTATGGTAAAATCGCCAATGAATTACACTGGATTTTAATATAAAACGTTTTCAAGTATTTCAAAAACTGATTCATATAAATGAAATTGCAATTCAGGTGGATTGTATATTCCAAAGATGAAAATGTTTTATGATTCCGTTAATTTTAACTTTGCATAAACAACATATAAAGCATAACGTGCTCAACATCAATATTAATTTTTGAACAATTCCACTCTTTTTTAACAGTTATTAGTACACCTCCTCCCCGAGTTTTTGATAATATATTATATTTTCGATCACATCTGTAAATAATATAATTATCCGAGAACAATTATAAATTATTAACAGATTCATTTATCCAGGTTTCCGTAGGTATCAAGACTTCATAATGCTGGAAGTTACGCATTAAAGAGTTCATGTGTTTTTGCAGTTTAATCCCCTCACATTTTGGTACTAGATACATAAGTTCGTTATATTGTCTTTATTACTATTAACTGCAGATCATTTTTTATGGTTTGGTTGCTATTTTGACATATACATATTGAACTTAAATTCATCCATCTTTTGACGATTATCATGACATTTAACTGAATCTCAGACAGCATGACAAACATCTAAACAGAAATAAAGTTACTTTTCTAGTTCTTAATATTCTTAATTTTCCGTGTCCTACTTTAAAAATATTTTTTGACATACCTAATTACCAAATCTGAAAGTAAATAGGTACTATTGCAAGCAATAAAACTAAGACCTCTCAAAGGACGGTTCTGTTCACAACGAAACCGTTTAGAAACAATTTGACCACAACAGAATCACCCTCTTTCTACCTAAAAACTTAATCCTAATCTGGTTATTATTGTTTTATTGCGGCAATTTAGGTCCGAAGATTAACACCCAGTATGAGGCCGCTCCGTTTTTAAAGAACGGTACGCCTAGGTAGCGAACAAAAATGGATTATAAGGGTCGTTCATTAAAACGAAAGACCTGTCTGGGGTCGACGTAAATAGTAAGACTAATCCCCGATGAATGATCACTTTATTTGAAATGGTTGCTTAGAAGATTATCTGGGTCATTAAAATCGTGCTAGATAGTGTTATATAGGTGAAAATTGAGTAGATATATTTAATATTTTATCTTCAATGATTATTAAATCGATTAATTTCTCATATTCCGATTAAAAATTTTAATTCTGTCGCCTTACTTTCATTGCTTTCGTTTATTTCCATGTTCATCAGTTTCTTGCATATTTTGTATATCTTCATTTACATTTTTCCTACTTTTTTAGGATCTTTCCTTCCATTAAGTTTTACAGACTGGTGCTCATATATATTTATATCGTCTAGATCGTCCAGGTCTTCATAGACTGCTTCTATTTATCCTTTGTTGTCTTGATCGCTTCCCTTTAAAATTAGAGATTTTGTAGGCAATCTCTTTTAATTTTTCTTCTTGCATTCCCTCGACAAGCTTCATTTCTTTATTTTTCAATATGGAAAACAGACAACTATTTATCTGATTGTTCTGAAAAGCTTCAGCTATACTAATGTAAATATATGCAGTTTCTATAGATTACTACCTATAACAAATTAAATACACTGAAACTGTATGTGCAAAAAATTTGAAAATTTGGGTAAAATGCTTTCATCTATTGGGCACTTTCGGTTTTACTGGAAATATACCTTAAGTCGCTTAATTTAAATACGACACATTAAATATTTTATGTAACACATTCTATATACATATACCTATATGAAAAATTGACTTTTGGCGGTTTTCTCAATCTTATTATAAATCTTATTCTTTTAAACACCCTGTAGATAAGTTATCCAAAATAAAAATATTTTAGCTAAATACGCTTTAAGATATCTAACAAGATTTCAAATTTTCCATTTTTTTACTTCCCGTTTCTGAAATATCCAATGAACCCGTTCTCGAATATAAGTGTATAGATTATTTTAATCCAAGGAATGCTGCCTTAAATGTTCGAACAATACTAATAAATCCACAAAAAAAATTAAACTACATTTATGTCACATCTACACACATCTATTCGTACAGTGATATTCACTCCTATACTGAGTGGATACGATTAATGTGTATCCAATCATTCCCGGTTTTATTTCTCGTTCTTTTTGGATCATATCGCAACAGCTCGACGGGTTGCATATTCCTGACAATTGATTGATATCCTCGAATAAGTATACGTCAAAATCCATATTGGATTGATAGTTGATCGAGGAAAGGTTAACTGCAGGTTAGTTTCTTCGGTCAGGTGAACAAATTCACAATTCGGTTTCACGTAACAGAAAATGATGAATGGTCCGAGGGTGTTTCGGTATCGGAATAACATTATTATTCAGTTAATTTAATATAGTCGCCTAACTATTTGTTATACATGGTAATTCGAACATTTTGACAGCACCCTCACCTCTCATGAATATGAATTTACCAGCCGAAGAATTTACAAATTGGTATAGCAAAATTTCTAACTATCCTGTATTAATACAAGACGATATTGAGATGCTGTTATATTGTGAGAGGTTTTAGAATTTAATGATTCTAAATAATAACAAAAGCATGGAAGTCTATGCTTAAAAAAGGAGGTGATAGAGAGATGATGCTGAATTAAAGACGTGGTGGTAAAGTCCAGCATCCAACTCTTCATCCCTACCCTGAGCCTTTACACATCCTTCTTACCCATCACCATCCAATGGCAGAGCATTTTCTTTGTACTCTCCGTAAATATAATGGGTGCTTTCAAATGACCTCATTTGGACCCAGAGAGATGAAAGAGCGAAATTTTATGACAACAAAGTGCATAGGCAAGTCTATCATAGAATAGGAAGCCTTATGGCTGGACCTAATCAGCAACCATCATTTCTCCAAATATACTTTGTTGGTGATGATAATCGTGAAAGACAAATTCGTTGTGGAATTTTTACTGGTATCGAGCCAGAGTTGATTCGTCAACTTCAGAATTTGCTTCACGAATACAATAACTATATTAAAGATTTTAAGGCTGCCTTTGATTCAGTTCCTAAGAACCAGAAAGAGTTCCAAGTAGTAATTAACGCTGATAGGACACCTTCGGGAGAACATAAAGGTCGTTTCAATACTCTAATGGCTAAAAGAGAAGCAGTTCTCATGGTTGGACAAGATTTTGAAAAAAGAGATATCGTCCTTAAGTGCAGAGACAACAAATTGATGCGAATCAGTGAGACCCACCGTGTCTATGATGCTTTGCAATATCCTCTAATGTTCTGTCTTAGAGAAGATGGCTATCATATTAATATACCTAAGCATGACGAAAAGACTAAGGCTCCTCTTAATAAGACAGTATCGGCTTCGGAGTTTTACAGCTATAGTATAATGGAGAGTGATGGTGAAGAATGTTATTTACTATTATTTCGAACGCTATTAAATAAATTTTTGGTTGATATATATATATGCAAAAATTGAAACTGAACGACTTAATTGGAACCGTAATAATAAAAAAAAAAATTAAGAAGTGAGGAATATATTCACCTTAAAGACGCCATGACGAAAAACGACGAACAGTTATCAGAGATGGGTAAAATGGTTGTGTTACCATCTTCCTTCACTGGTGGACTCTGTTACATGCATGAGCGAACTCAAGATGCTATGACATATGTACGTCATTTCGGACGGCCAGAAAAATGGCAAGAAATAGTAAATCTTTTAGTTCAAGGCCAAAAATCTCACGATAGACATGACATAATAGCAAAAATTTTTCACGTGAAAGTAAAACATATGATGAAGCTTCTAACGAATGGTTGCATCTTTGGCAAAACGAAGTGTTATATGTATACCGTGGAATGGCAGAAAAGTGGACTCCATCACATTCATATTTTCGTGTGGTTAAAAGAAAAGATAAGACTAAAGTCTATTGACAATGTTATTAGCGCTAAATTACCTGATCCCGATCTAGATCCAGCCCTATATGAAATTATCAAAACATATATGATCCACGGTCTATGTGGATCTCTCAATACAAGTTATCCCTGTATGTTCGATGGTACTTGCACGAAAAAATATCCAAGACCTTTTCTGAAGGAAACTCAAACAGGAGAAGATGGATTTTCTAATATCGTCGACGATCTCCCGAAGATGGTGGAGTAAAAATAATGATAAATGGAGCTAATATAGACAATCGGTCGATGGTACCATATAACCCCGTCCTGTCCCGCACTTTCAAGACTCATATAAATGTTGAGTTTTACAATTAAAAAAAAACAATAAAATATATTTATAATTATATTAATAAGGGATCTGATCAAGCGGCGTTTACCGTTGGGATCTAGGTGAACTGAAGATATATGAAGCAGGACGATACATTGACACCTTTGAAGCAGTTTGACGAATTCTATGTTTTTCTGTTCACGAAAGGTTTCCCCCTGTCATGCATCTTGTTGTACATTTGGAAAATAGTCAAAAAAAAAATTTTAACGAGGATAATATAGTTGATAAGATCAATAGGAATCCGAAAACAAAACTTATGGCTTTTTTTATCTCTGCAAGTAGATGATTTTGCAAAAAGTCTATTATTTTGTAAAGTTCCGGCTTATTATGTCTGGAAAAAACACCAATTTTGCTGAAGAAAACAACGACAGATTGTTACAGGTTACATGGGAATAAAAAGAGATCATGTTTTAGGTCGAGTTTATACTGTCCATCCCGGTAATGCTGACTGCTATTACCTACGCCTTCTTTTGCATGAGGTTCATGATCCAGAGTCATTTAAGGTACTAAAAACTGTAAACAATGTGACCTATCCAACATTTCAAGTGGCTTGCAGAACAATTGCATTGCTGGCAGACGATGATCATTGAGATCGAACTTTAGAAGAAGCCTCAATTTCTGATTCTTCTCATAAAATTCGTGAATTGTTCACTATCATGTTAATTTTCTGACAAGTTGAAGATCCAATTAAATTGTGAAAAAAATACCGAGACACTTTTGCGGAAGACATTAAAAGACAAATAAGCAGAGAACAAGAAAACGTTAAGTTGGTTCTTGACATTATTTATAATTAATGCCTAATTATTTTTGAAGATATGGTCATTACTATGTCAGGTAAAACTTTGTAACAATTTGGACTCATTTCACCATCACGAGAACAAGGGACTGTTATTAACAACCATCAATATCTAAGTGAATTGGCTTACGAAACAGATCAGCTTACCGAAGAAGTTGCAGTAAATGTTTTAAAATTAAATATAGTACAGAACGAAGCCTATGAGAAAATATTAAAAAGTGTTGCTCCTAACTATGGGAAATTATTCTTTCTTGACTGAAAATGCTTACAAAAATTAGAAGTGAACAAAGTATCGCTATCGCTGTTGCTTCTTCTGGAATTGCAGCTACCTTAATCGACGGAGGCAAAACGGCTCACACTGCCTTTAAATTACCTCTAAACATGAATCATTTGGATAATACTCTTTGTAACATCTCTAAGCAGAGTAATATGGCACATGTCCTTAGAGAAGCGAGACTAATTATATGGGATGAATGCACTATGGCTCACAAGAATGCTATTAAGGCTCTTTACAGAACGCTTAAGGATTTAAGAAGTTGTAACCAAATTATGGGTGGAATAACTGTTTTTTTGACTGGTGACTTTAGACAAACATTGTCTGTTGTGCCACGAGGTACATGTGCAGACGAAGTCAAAACCTGTCTAAAATCATTAATTTTGTGGCCCCATGTCAGCGTGCTGTCTTTAAGACTTAATATGCGCGTCCATCTGCAACATGATTCGAGAGCAGAAGAATTTTCTAAGCTACTACTTAATATATATATATAAAAAAAAAAAAAATCTTTTTTCCAGTAAGACCATTGCTACACGGTATTGGAAAAGTCAGTTTTACAAAGTGTTTTACAAAGAATGTATATAATTTAGGCAAGTAAACATAAAAAAAATATATATATATATAAAATAAACAGAGCATATATCACGTAACAAATAAAAATAAATAATATTACACAGACCGAGTGGAGCCATACTTATTTAGTTAAAATTGTAGTACTCATCTACATTATAAAAACAATTCTCTAACAAGAATTCCTTAAGTTTTTTCTTAAAAGAATTAAAAATTTGTATATCTTTTATTGACTGGGGCAATTTATTATATAATTGTATGCCAGCATATGACGGTTTGGTAGTTATGATTATCTAAATTTTTACTAAATTCATTAATTTTTTTCCTAATATATATTATGCATTTATAAATGTAAATATAAGGCAGTGTTAAAATATTAAGTTGTTGGAAATATGATTTGCATGATATTCTTCTATTAAGACCAAAAATTAATCTCAAAACTCTTTTTTGTAAAATGAAAAGCCTATTAGAGGATGATGAATTTCCCCACACAATTATATTATATGACAAATGAGAGTATATCATTGCGTAATATATATTTATAAGTTGTTGTTTGCCTAAAATATTTTTTAGTTGAAATAAAACATAATACCCACTATTAACCTTTTTACTAATATAATCAATGCACGATTGAAATGATAAGGTGCTGTCAAGAAAAGTTCTCAGAAATTTTGTAGACTCGGACATTGTCATATTTAGATTATCTGTTGTCACTGTTATTACATTCTCAATGTTATTAGTAATGTTAAATTTCATCAGTACCGTTTTCTTAAAATTTAATATTAGGTGATTTTGTAGACACCACTCATTGAATTTGTTATAGAGGAAATTCAATTTGTTTGAAATTTCCTCTAGAGAATTCGCACAAGACGCCACTGACACATCATCTGCATATAGAACAATGCAATCTGCGTTTAAGTATGTTGGTAAATCATTTATAAATATAAGAAATATCAATGGTCCCAATACGGATCCCTGAGGAACCCCCATATCTACATTACCTTCATTTGAACAAGTTTCATTCACTTTGACAATAATTTTTCTGTCTTAAATATGACATTAGCAAACTTAACACATTTCCTCGAAAACCTAAAGATTGAAGTTTAGTTTCCACAAAATCCAAATTTAAGCAATCAAAAGCTTGTGTAAGATCAAAGAAAAGTGCTCCAATAACTTTTTTGCTATCAAGGCGTTTGTATAAAAATTCAATAAAATCATATATAGCGCTCTCCGTTGATCTACCAGGGTAAAAACCATTTTGGCATTTAGTTATGATCTTATACTTTTCTAAGTAAGAAATCATCCTATTATACATAGCCTTTTCGACTATTTTACTTATGACATTTGATACTGTTATTTGTCTATAATTGTTTAAACTTAGCGGATCATCTTTTTTGTATAAAGGAGTTATTAATCCTACTTTCAAATCTTCAGGGTATTCACCATCTTGAACGGAAACATTTATTATATTAGCTAAAGGTTCAGCTACATAATAAGCAATATTTTTAATAATTTTAGTGGGTATGCAATCTACTCCAACAGAATTAGTATTTTTTAAATTTCCAATTATCTCTAAAACGTCTTGTTTATTTACTGGGTCAAAGAAAAACGAATTACTGTTACTCAGAACACATTTTGTACAATCTGTACTAGCGCTTCCAAAATACTTTTCATTCAATAATTTTACTGCATTACTATAGTGTTTAACAAAACTATTTGCTACCTCAAAATTATTTTCAATTATCTGTTCATTGATTTTTAATTTAATTTGTTGATTTGTCTTTATTCTGCCGCTTTTTTCTTTAACTAGTTTCCATACGTATTTTTGCATTTCAATAGGGTTCGTCTTATTGTCAATTGAATTTTGATAATAAAATATTTTATCACGTTTTAGTTTTTGTTTATAGTTTTTAAATTAAGTTTTGTATTCTAATTCTAAATGTTTATCATAAAAATTCTGTTTTAACCAATGCAGGTTTTTTAATCTATTACCCATTTCAATTGTCGCTGTGGTAATCCATTTACATTTCCTATTTTGATTTAAACAAACTATTTTCTTAACCATTGGACAAAATTTATCGATTGCAAAATTAATAGCACCATAGAAATCATTTAACATGTCATTAATATTTGCGTAGTTCATTAAAATTACGTTTATGTCGAAAATAGTTTTGCAGATTACCAATAGCATTTTCACCCAGATTTCTAAAAGATATTTGTCTTTTTACAGGAGTAATTAATTCTGATTTTATATTTAAAATTAAACCAAAATGATCTCCTAGATTCAGATCATGAACAGTTTCGTTATAAGTATCTATAGGCATATTTGTAAATACGTAATCAAGTTTTGATATTGAAACAGTCCCATTACTCTTTTTATGTACCCTCGTGGGATCTGTATTTTGAATTGTCAAATTATAACATTGCATAAGGTCTAATAAAATATTTTTGTTGTTAGATTGAGTTAAGTAGTCAATATTCAGATCTCCACAAAGATTAACATTTTTATGCTTCTTTACACAATAATCTAATATTTCAGTAACTTGATTAAAAAATATATCTACATTGGCTCCAGACGGTCTATACATTACAATAATACAGTATTCTACATTTTTAACACAAATTTCTATACCACAACTCTCTGAATGCATTTCTACAGATAAATTTTTTACAATATCTATAGTCTTACAATAAATATAATTTCGGACCAAAATCATTACTCCCCCGTGTATACGGTTAGGTCGTACATATTTTAAAATCTTTAAAGAAAATACATGTATAATTGGACTCTAAACACCAAGTTTCTGAAACACACAGAATGTGCGGTTTGTATTCTTGAATTAATAACTCAAACTGTTCAATTTTATTTGTAATACATTGAGTGTTAACACATATAATTTGAAGAAAATATTGATTCTGGTACGAATTAAAATTAAAATTCTCGGACTTGGTATCCGGTGTTTCGAAATTGAAATTTCTTTACGATGACACCTTTGGGCCAATAACTAGGGGTATATAGATTATTTTCTAATTCGACATCAGCTTCTACTCTGTAAGAAGAATTACGCCCTTGTGAATTTAACTTCGTTACATTAAATTCATGTCCGGGTGATCTTTTTTCTAGGTATTTTTTAATATCCTCTGGAGTTGAAGTAGGTTTACAACGACCTACATATATCCACAGACGACGAGTTGATGCAAAGTTTCCAAACTCATCTGCCACATTTTCCTTTTGTTCATGTTCATTTGTTCCCGTACCCAATACAATTTTCTTGGGCTTCTCTGTATTTCTGCTTCGACCACGTCTAGAATAAGTCTGCTGGTGCGGTACCTTCGAATAATTACTATCTAATCGGACAATTTTTTCTTTCTCAACTGATTGTGATAGTGTCTCTACAATTGTATGCCCCGATAAAGTTGAAGAATCTAAATCTTCAGATTCTAATAAATTGTTTTTTAATAAACTAGCCGGATGATGTGTTAACATTCTAACCATCTCTATATTACTTTCTCTTAAATCGGTTATTTCTTGTTTCAGTATCTGAATTTCTGTAATCAGCACTTCTGTTTGTTCTTTTACTGTTTTTTGCAAAATGTCTTTAAGTTCTTCTAAACTAATTATAATAGTGTTTTTACTAACCTCTGCTTTGGTAGTTGTACTTCTCGTCATTTTCGTATATCAAATTTATAATCAAGGCACAGAGCACAGACAAACACGTCCACTTCGAACAACGATATACAATACAAGTAATATAGGTGATGGACCGATTTCGCAAGTTGAAGGAAGAATACATATTCCGGATAGCCTTGGTAATATTGTTGGGGATTTAATCACCTTGACTGATAAAATATACCCAAATATCCATCAAATTAAAGTTGGTTACACTTCGTGGTCAAAAGAAAGAGCTATTCTCGCTCCAACAAATGACTCCGCAAATATCATTAAAAACTTTCTTTTAGAGAAGCTACCAACTGACCATATAAAGTATGAATCTGTGGATACAGTAGTCGAAGTAGACAATGCTGTTCATTATCCTGTAAAGTTTTTGCATACACTGAATCCACAACGAATACCACCTCATATTTTTAATCTTAAAATTGGGGCATCAATAATGCTACTGCGCAATTTGAATCATCCAAAACTATGTAATGGCTTTAGACTTCAAGTTAAAAGTCAGCATAAAAAGGTTATTGAAGCTGAAATTTTAACAGGAAAATATGAAGGAGAAGTTGTATTCATCCAGAAGATTCCTTTTATTCCAACAGATTACCATTTTGAGTTCAAACGTCTTCAATATCCTGTCAGAGTTTGTTATGCCATGACTATCAATAAAGTGCAAGGGCAGAGTTTGAGAATGGCTGGTGTGGATCTGACAAGTGATTGTTTTTCTCATACTCAGTTTTACGTGGCGTGTTCAAGAGTCAGTTCATTCTTTAGCCAGAAAAGAAAACGAAGAACGTTGTGCCCAGTGAAGCGGGCGGGTATCAGCTAGTATTTGTATATACATATTAAGCTATACTAACACTTTCTGATCTTTGTAATTTTATTATCTATTATTTTTTTGTATTTATGTTTTCCTATTTTATTATTTTTGTGATTGTTATTGTATCGAAACAAGTGAAAAATTTAATTAACGATTTCCTTTCATTTATTTATACCTATCTTAAGATTTTATTATTATACGAGGTGTGACAATTAAGTAATGAGACCGATTTTATTGCCGCGCTTGTAGTAAACCTGCGACCTTGAAACTCCCTTATCCCTTCCCGACATCCTTTACGTTTCCCTTAATATTTTTACCATCTCTGTAGTTTGTTTACTTTGCCGGCTGTGTCGTGTTTAGTAGACGGGCATTGGTGGTGCTCGTCACGAAAATGGAGCAGCAAAATCTAGAGCAACGCGTCGCGGTAAAATTTTGCGCCAGATTGGGCGAAACAGCTTCGGAAACGTACGCTAAAATCGTAAAAATGTATGGTGATAGTACTCTCAGTCGTGCCCAGGTGTTTCGATGGCATAAAGAGTTTAAGGAGGGGCATAAAAGCGTTGAAGACCAGGCGTGGAGCGGGAGACCAGTCAAGGTGCGGACTGACCCGAATGTGCAGCGAGTTCGCACCTTAATCTGTAAAGATCGGCGTCTAACAGTTCGAGTGTTGGCCTCGGAACTGGGTATGAGCCGTGAAACAGTCAGACAAATTTTAACCGACGATTTAGGGATGAAAAAGTTGTGTGCCAAGATGGTTCTAAAGAACCTTTCTGAGGAGCAAAAGCATCGAATGATCGTCGCGGAGACTGTTTGGAGCAAGTGGAAAACGATCCCACGCTGCTTGGTCGAGTTATTACAGGCGATGGAAGCTGGTTTTCCAAAACGACCCGGAAACCAAACGCCAAAGCTCACAATGGTTGTCTGCGCATCCCCCGTCCGAAAATTTTTTGATAGCCGTAGAATTGTCCATAAGGAATTTGTTTCATTGAGGCAAACCGTAAATCAAGTCTACTACCGCGAAGTACTCGAAAGATTTCGAAAACGAGTCAACAGGGTGCGCCCAGACATCGCAAACAACTGGATCCTTCATCACGACAACGCGCCGTATCACACCGCCCTCAGCGTTTCCCAATATTTGGCCTCTAAAGGGACCACCGTGTTTCCACAGCCGCCTTATTCGCCTGATATATCACCCTGTGACTTTTTTCTGTTTCCTAGAGCTTAATTGATGGTCAAAGGAATCCATTTTAAGTCGGTTATGGACATCCAAAAGACCGTGACGAGGGTACTCGCAGACATCCCAGTCGAAGCGTTCCAGAAATGTTACGAAGCGTGGAAAACTCGCTGAAATCGTTGTATAGCTGCCCAAGGGGACTACTTTGAAGGGAATGACAGAGTTGTAGAATAATTTTTAAATATACGGATTTTATGAAATCAGTCTCATTACTTAATTGTCACACCTCGTATTTTGTAAATTAGTGTAAATAAATTCATTATTATATTATATAATAGTAATTCTAGAACTCATTATATTTCGATAGCATATTTTTATCATCTTGAGATTTCTTTTATAATTATTACTAAAAATGAATCAGTAAATACAGGAAGCTAGAAATCTTTGGAAGTACAGGCTTCGACTCTTAATGCAGAAGAACTTTAGTTATCAACTAGAAGCATTATATATTCCAGAACTTGTTATAATATGACAGCATCTCACTGTCGTAGCATTAGAAATCGTCATACTACGAAAACATCTCACTATCGTCTAAAATTTATATGTATATTAATTATTTATAATTACTTTAGGAAGGCCAGAGCTATAAATGAAATAATTTAGCTAGACTCATAACTATTCGTAAACTATTGATTTTTTTTAGTTTTATTTATTACATTGGGATGTAAGCATCTCATTTTTTAAATTGGAGTTTTTAATAATAAATTTACCAGAACTGTTGATAAAAAATATCAGGAACGCCATAAGAACTCTTCTTAAAAATACGTAATTTTTTTATGTGAAAAAAAATCAGTAGGTAACAAAAATTGGCTCCCAACGGGCATTTATTATACTTACCATATTTTACCAGATATAAATCTCTAACTGTTGGTAAATTGATACATTTTCGACTCTAAATCTGAAAACAACCATTTAACATTCTAGCTCCAATTTATAGCTACTTCTGATAAAACCGTATACGAAACGTATAATATTCCGAGAATAAAAACATTTAGAAGAATGAGACGTTGAAACGACTAATTTATCACCATTTCTACCTGTATATCTCTTATAAAAAATTTATGGATCGACTTTGAATGGAAGAAAAATGCCTTCGATAAATTTCGAAAACCACAAGTAAGGATTTAGAACAGGTCTGTATTGTGAGAAAATTGGATGGCATTTTAGTATAAAAAATTATAGACAAGTTTAAATGAGAGTTTAAATAATTTAAAATATGTTAAAGTAAACGTTTTATAATTGATTTGTTCAAATAGAATAGAGAAATGTGTTGTTTTAAAGCTTATATATTATAAAACGCTCTACTAGCCAGCTTTTTTGTTATACTGCTGAATCAAACCAAAAAATGTAATGAATGCACTTGTAGATTGCTTTACAGCTTTTTTATGTGAGTTGGAAATTATTTTAATCTCTTTAATAATTTTTTATAAACTATATTTATCTAAATACAACTTAGTTTTATTTAAAGTAAATTCTACAATATAGGAAAAATGATATACAAAATATTGACCAATAATATTGATTCACTAGATTAGTTGTCAAAGATATAGAATTGTTATTTTTTTTTTTTTTTTTTTTGAGGTTAGATGTTAAAGTGTTTTGAATAGATTTTTTGGCACCTAAAGGTGGGTTAATAAGTATCTCAGCCAATTGATGCAGATGATCATTATGACTGGATAGAATTAATTGCAAAATATATCATCATCAGATCCAATTCTGCAAAGCTCCTGGTTTTGACTTAATTACCAGTTAAATTTTAAAACAACATCCTCAAAGCAATTGTAAAAATAACTCATTTAATTAATGCATCATTTAGACTAAAACTGGCTGATATAAAGAATTTCCAAGCTATCTACATATAAGTTGCTTTTCTGCAAGGAAATCTTAAAACCTCTTTAGACAAGGCATCTAGCTCTTCAACTATTCTAGCAAAAGTAATACCAATGTAATTCAACAACAACAGAACAGGATACTATGCAACATAGTAGATGCACTCCTCCTCTGTCGCAACTCAAATCTTCACCGAGACCTAGGAATAAATAAACTATTATCAAGTCTAGTCTGCCAGAAGTCATAAACAAATACTTCTTCAACATATGAATGTCGTAGCAACCAACTGCTATAGTCTATTTTTATGTATGAGAGAGTATTAAAATAATAAAGCGTTCGTAATCCATAGGCGGATCACTTCTTTTAGTAGACAGTTAAAATATTTTTTGAAGTTATTCCTCGAGTATACACTTATATTTTCACCTAATTAACCTGCTTATAACTTCTAAACAGCTGAATGTAAAAAAGTGCAATTTTTTCTAAAATGTTTTATTTTTCCACAAGGTATGTTAAGAACATTGTGTCAAACGGGTTATGTAGGTATAAGGGTTTAAACTTTGGCTTTTAAACAACGTTACGTTCATAAATAATAATTTTAATATAAAAACTACTTCTTACCTACAAATCCAAATCAGAATCGAAATCAGAAGATGAACTGTCGCAACCAATATTTACAATGAGTGGGTCGATCATTTCATCAGTAATATTGTCCAACTTCCACATTTTCTCTTCTTCTTTAATCGTATGATTTACTGCCTTTTCCCAGTTTTCAGGCTTCACATTATTTACAGCCTCCAAAAACAACTGTTTAACATCACTCATTTTAAAAGAATTATTTTTTCTTGAAACTTCTCCCTTTATCTGTGCCCATGTCAGTTCAATCGGATTTACTTCGCAATTATATGGTGGTGATCTAACCACCGTCATCCCACGATTTTTTGCAATTTCATCAATTTCATATTTTTCGAATTTCTCTTTATGAAGAGAACACAAATGATACAGTTCTTTTCTCACAGAACCGGGATGGAACTTAATATTCTTTGAATTTAGCCAATTCTGTAAATCTTTTTCTAACCACTTGGTTGTGGGCATTTTTTCTATAAGTCTCGAGTGATAACTTGCATTATCCATTACTATTATACAGTTCTGAGGAAGAAGATCTATAATTTGTTCGAACCACTCTTTAAAGACATCAGCATTCATGTCCTCATGGTAGTGACCGGTACGAGTAGATTCAAAAGTCAATAAACCACCTTTAACAAAACCGTTTGAACTACCGATGTGTACTATTATTAGTCTGCGCCCCTTTCCTGATGGTGGATTTAAACCAGTAGATAAATTATTTTAAAAAGCCTGTCTTCGACTTGTAACAGTTTTATCTTGCTATATTTGGTTTATGTCCCTCGTTGATCCATGTTTCATCTAAATAAAATATATTTCTTCTTTGGTTTCTCATTTCTTTTATAGTCCTTAGGTAATTTCTTTTCCATACTACAATATCGCTTCTTTCTATTAAAATAGACTTTCTGGAATGCTTTTTCCATAGAAAACCTATTTCTTTTAAAAGTTTCCATAGTGTGCTTCGACTCATTTCAGGGTAATCCTTATCATCTCGAACCGTGGCAAGAACTTTGTCTACTGTCGGAAATTCTTTTCTAAAGAAGAACGCATGCACTTTCCTTCGAAGTCTTTCTTTCAAAAGATTTTCTAATTGAAATTTTGGTTTTCCTGGAGCTTTACGTGCTGTTTGAAACTCGCCACATTTCTCTTCTTTACCAACTCTATAAATCATAGATTTCCCAACACCAAGCGTACTACTAACCAATTCCACTGTGTCATCAACACTTTTACATAAATGTTGGTCTGTAAATGATTTAAAACAATTAAATATTAATGTTTTTTCATTAACTGTTAAAGGACCGATTTTTTGTCGTTTACGCGGCCC